CCGTCGCTGTTGGCTGGCCATTCGTCTTGCTCTGGTTCTTCTGATTCTTTTTGCTGGCCCAAACATGAATGTGGCCTCATGCTGAACCAACCTGGGGGGACTGAAACTCTGGTCCCGTAGGCGGCTCAACCAGCATCGCTGCTGCTGTAGGGATTTCTTTCCTTTCTGCCCCGGCCACAGCTTCTCAGACACTGTCTTGCACCAGTTCCTCAGTCACTGTAACTTTTGCTAAGCCATCCTAGCCTGTTAATGCAGCAAAACCCAGCCTGGCAGATCAGTGAATAGTTTTGGCAGGTTAGTGTGTTGAGCCAGGTGAGGAAAGGGCCGCATGAACTACTCTTAACTGATTCAAGGGAAGAAGCAGAAAAAGGCTAAAATAACATTAATTAGCAGGTGGATGGACTCAGATTTTTTTCTTCGGTATGTTGTTATTGAGAATTTTTTTTTTTTTGCCAGTTCAGTCTTAAACCGGGTCAGTTATCCCTACAGTGCATCAAGGTTTTTCTCTCACAGTTGAATGGATGAGGCTGTTTCTTTTGATGTTAATGCTGACTTAAACTGGGTTACAGTGACTGACAATGGTATGAAACACTCTAAAGTGTTGCTATATAGGAGGACGTATCACACAGTATATTTTTGACCATAACTACCTGTAAAAATAGAAGCAGCAGCACTAGTGGATTCTAGCAGAATCTTAACCTCACGTCAGAGCCCTGCATAGTTTGCTTTTCCCCTATTCCCATGGGGCTTGTGGAAGTGCTTTCTTAGTGCTACACATCGCATGATTCCTGACTCCTTTCAGCCTTTCAGATGGTTTTGCTCCATTTTGTCACTGGGAATAAGAACATTTTATTCCAAAATTAGAAACTACTGGAGAAAAAAAAATGCAAGTCATTAATCTTATTTTACTGTCTTTATTTCCAGTGTATCCTTGATTGGTGCCAGATGTTTGGCAAGCTATGCCATTAATTAGTCGGGAACCACATCCCATTCTTCTGCCTGCTATTGCCCGTTTACAAACCTGTGCTAAGGCCATGCAGGCTACAGCCTGCACCAAGGCTGGTGCAGATGTGTGTCTGCAGACAACATGGGGTGCCAGCTGCTAAAAAAGGACATATCATCTGTGGCATTAGGAGAGACTGTGGCACTTCAAAAACTGGAGGGAGAGATAAAAGATATTTGAAAAAATAGAAACCAAGCAACCTGTCACAATTTGTCTTTTCTTGCCTTCTAGGTTTAGCACCTGTGAATTCCAGATCCTTGGGGATGCTGTTGCTGGTAACAGCCAGATGATGGACAAACTGGAGGGCTAAAAGCAAAGGCAAAACAAGGTTTGGAAATGTTAGCAAAGCATGAGAAGAGGTTTGGTGGTCAAAGTCAAGACAAGAAAAATTGCTGGGGAAGAACAGACGTTGAAACTAATGCAGTTTTTGGGGGGTGAAATAAGCAATCTGTACTGCTAGATAGGTTGGCATATGTCTGCTTGTTTCCTGATTAATGTACATTTCTTGAAGTTAGCAGAAGAGAAAACGTCTCCAGTTCTTCAGGTCAAGAAATTACTGCTGACAGAGGGCACGTCAGGGAGCTTAGTGAAAGACCTTGTCTTAGGTTTCAGAGTGAAAACATGCCTTGCCTCATACTGGCCACAAAGATCCTGGCATTGTGTAGGTGCTGCTACAGCATCAGTCTTTAAAGCTTACTGGAGTTTTTATCAAAAATGCCTCAAGTGTATTGTTTACCTCAGAGATCACTCATTCTATTTAAACTCTCTTTTGGTTTGAGGTTTTTCGTATCTATATCTGAGACGCATCATTTTTGTTTCAAGTTCAGATGAAGTTTTTGTGTCTCACTTGATGAAAATATTCTTTCCTCCATTCTGATAGACATTAAATATGCCAAAATAAGCCAAGGAGTGTCGTGAAGGCTGCATGTTCAGATCTCTGCAAAGTGTGCACGAAATATAAATTACTACTCTACAGTTCACTTAGAGCAGAAACTCTAGGACATCAAAACTGGTTATCCTGAACTAGCGAAGTCCTGAACTGCCTGTCTTTGCAGGCAGGAGACCTATAAAGGCATACAAGGAAACATCAGTATGAAAAGAATTGGATTATCTTCATAAGGCAGTATTTTATTCTGCAAACGCTTCTAAAGCACAGATTATTTCCTACTGCAAAGGAAGGGCATATCCAGGATACCCATAATTTAGTAACTTGTGTCGTCCATAGCAGAATGCCAGGAGAAACAAAACACGGTGTAGAAACCGAGCAGCAGATGATGGATCTTCTGTCTGGGTAACTGTGTGCTCATTAGTGTTCTGTGCACTTTACAGGTTTTATTAACTCTAAATTAACAAACGCAAGCACTTTTCACTGTCAATGAAGGTATGCTTTGCTAGCAGACATATGACATAGAAATCTGGAATAGAGAAAAGCCTATCATACCTCTTTTAGAGGAACTGCAAATATCGGCACTATAAAACAGAATTTAACATTAGTCCTTAAAGATCTGTGTTGTTTTAGAAAGGTCTAATCCCATTCGAAAGCAGCATAGATAAATAAATCACAACTCTGGCTAGATGGTCCAAATTTTCTTTGAAAGTCGTCAGAATTATTAGATCTCAGCATAGGGCTTTTAAGCAATAATTTCCTTTTAATTTTGTTTGCCTGTTTTAAGCAAGCCTCCTTAGTTATGCTAAGAATTAGAGCCATCTTTGTCAGTACTGTGAACCTGGCTGTGATGGTTCTGTTTTAATAGTGAATAAAACCAAGATAGGTAAGAATCTTTCATTTTAACATATACAATTTTAGTTGCAGTATTTTGTTTTATTCAGTCTTACAGACAAATATTTAATACCTCAAATTAAATGGCCCTGTGTTAAGTTTTGTAATAAATTATCAGGAATAACATAAAGAGACTGAAGTTGTGAGCTAAACCCAATGTTAATTTGCCATGTTACTATGCGCAGCAGAACCTTACTGCACTTGCAGTGTTTGCTTTCATCGTACTTTAGGAGAATAAGACTCTAGCTGACATTTTCCAGGGAATTTAAATAATGTGGGGCTTTGGAGGAGGAAGGGAAAGGAGTTAAGTGATTTGGGGAAGGTGTTGTTTTACTTGGTTTATATAACCCAAGGCACATTAGTTTTCTATGGATACAAACATTTATAATATACACATGTTAAAAAAGCTAAAACAAACCCTGTCTGTGATATAGATAGATACTGTTTCTAATTTCTTGCTTCATCCAGCTGCAAAGTTCACTACAGCTGCATTAGAGCTTTCAATTCTGTTAGGGTTCCCACAGTTACTTTTTATTTATAATAAGAAGTTAACATTTGTAAGTCCTGACTTTGAGATTTCTTTTAAGGTATAGAAATCATAATGGGAATTTGAATTGGAAAGAAAAAACTGTCCTTAATCCACAGTAAAACCCTTTGTGAAAAATGTGCGAGGACAGGGGGGAGGGAAGCATTTGTGCCTGTGTGTTTTACCCTTTTTGTGTCTCAAACATATTGCTAGTGATAATGAAAATATTCCTGTGGACTTTCACCAGGACCTATCTAATGCTGGTTAAAACCAAGGTATAGCTATTCTCACCTTTTTTTTTGATCATTTTAAATTGGTCCTTTTAATTCTCTCAATAAATCAGTACTTTAGAAAGTGTATTTTGGAAGAAAAAAAAAGCCTTTTAAAATCTCTTTTTATAACAGTTTGTGGTTTTAACTTTGTCTTCCAGATATTTTGCTTATTGCCTAGATCCACTCTCTCAAAACACAAGACACTTTCTAAAAACCTTACATTAACACTCTTGATTTGTTTGTGTTCAGTGGCAGGTCTCTTAGTGCCACCCTTCAGCTTTCAGCTCAGTTTCCATGGGCTGAAGAGAGCATTGCATATTCTGCAGCCAGCTAGTTAGGCGTAGGACTCATCAGCTTGGAGAGCACAGCTAAATCTTGTTCTCTTTGATTTTCTCATAGACATAAAAAAAGCAGCGAAGAGAAATTGGAAGAAGGAAGTGTTAGTGTCCTACTGATCTGAAAACTGTTTCCGAAGTCTTTGGACTTAGTATTTATGTAGTTAAATCCAACAAGGTAGGTTTTCTTCCTTTTTTTATTAATAAAACCTCAGAAATATTGGGAACCTGTTTTGTGATTCTCAGTGGGGTTGGAAAAGTAAGCTCATATACCTAAGAGGAATGCATAGGCTAAAGTATTGGCCTGTTAAGTGAGTTCTGTGGAGTCTTACCAAATTCTGAGTTTCTCCTGATAGGATTTTAATAAAGGCAGGTGACTTGTTAGTATTTCTTCACAAAACTTTCAAATCAGTTTAAAAGGCAATCAGTACAAACAGGCAAACAGACTCTGAAGGAGAAGATGTTTCAAGGTTAGCTGCTGTTCTGGCTTCTTTTTCTTCCTGAAGATTGTGTGCTTCTGTAGGCTTGGGAAGATTTCATGCTGTTCCCTTCTGAATGGAAGTCTACAGCAAATAGAGATGAATAGAGAATCTTCCCCCCCCCAGTATGAAAGCAACATAAAATACAGAATTAGCTGTCTGAAAGTACTGCAGCTGTTACTGTAAAAGGCAATAAAATAGAAAGCAGATGTTTCGATTTGAACATTTTGATGTTTCTTCTTCAGGTAGAGTTCAGGTAAATAGAAACTGTGTTTCCCTGCGGCTACGAGAACCGTGTTCCTTGGCAGAGTACAGAACAAGCAAGGGTCATGTATCTGTCAATACGTTTGCTTTCATCATTCAGAGAATCTCAAAGTAAAACTAGGATGCTGCAGTCCAGCAGTATGTGCCTCAAATTCTCACTTAGATGTCAAAGTCTCCAAAATATATAAGTGTTTGCATTCTCGCTAGTTAAGTTCCTCGTGCACCTTAACTTCCCAGGTTTCTCTAACTGCTTCCAAGGTTTCTCTAACTGCTTCCTGTGGATTCAGGACAATTTTTTCCTTCTCTGTGCTGTTTCCCCAGGCTGAGAGGGTGTGGAGAGCATGGGCTACGACACCGAGCGCTTTGTGGGCTACGTTAACGAAGGCCTCCTGTGCTCCATCTGCCGCGCCGTGCTGGAGGAGGCCGTGCAGGCGCCGTGCGAGCACGCGTTCTGCGCCGCCTGCATCCGCGGCTGGCTGCGCCACCACAGCAGCTGCCCCGAGGACAGGCAGCCGCTCGACGGGGCTCTGCTGCGGCCTCTCTACAGGTAGGCACGCCGTGCTCAAACCCTAGAAATGCAGGATTCCTCAACCCTGCCTGCAGGGCTTCTTCTCGTTTACTCTCGCTTGAATTAGCCTTACCCGATATGCCTCTGGCAGGAACTGATCCCTTGGATAAGCACATTAACATTTTCTGTTTATTCTGACTGACTGTTGAGGTATTGAAGACTTCAAAATGGATAGAACAGTTAGTTTGCTCTCCACTTTCTTGTTCTGGCTCTCGCTTGTTCTCCCTCCTTTTATATTGTGACTGTTGATTGTAGATATCTTTCTAGATGTTACTATGATTCTCTTAGAGAAATCAGGTAGTACAGTGACCTTCACTAAACACTGTATCTTTAGTTTTTCCGCTCACCCATGCTATGATATCTTTGTAGTTGGGTTTTTAATGAATAGGTGCCCATGGATATGAATAAAAGTTCTTGCATTCAAATCCCCTTTAAAAGATGGACTTTAGCCATAGGAGTATGTGTCTTGCTCCTTGTTCCACAAAGCAGGCTGTTTTTGCAAGGAACTTTTCCACAACTCCTGCTGTTGTGTCCAGGACAAACAGTAGATGCTGCTGGGTCTTTAACCCTTGTGTTTTCTACTTGCACAAACAAATTAATGAATTATGTTATGCTTAATTTGATTCTTGTTACAGAGATTTTTAACTCTATTGGTATTCCCATTGTTTTCATCAGTAAATAGATTATATATATAGAAAGCTGAAGTATAATGTGGCCAGAGTCCCAAAATTTAATTTATACTTTGTTTTGCCTGTGCTTATTGTGCTCTGTTTAGTTTCGCATGTTCAGAAACAGAAGAAACTTGAATGGTGTGAATGACTACTGATCTGTAGCCTTAGTGTTTGTTATTGCTAATATCTGCTGAGCTAATTAATGGATACAGGTAAGACTTTATTCAGGAATTTATTTTCAAGGTTTCATTTCATTTTGGAGACTAGCTTTTCCACTACCATTGCTCCTCTCTTTTAAGCCAACATAATCTTCCATGTTGTCTTCCAGGATGGTCACTTAACTGTGTCCATAAAAAAAAAATGTACCCTGCTTATTCATCAGGTTTCCTCATGGAAACAACAATTCCACTTTCTCTTCCTGACAAATAATGTATTCTACACCCAACATTTGAATTATTTATCTGTTTGTTTATTTATTTTACATAGATATATGAAAAATGATTTAAACCGTCTTCAGCTACATTGCAAAAACAGAGAGCATGGCTGTGAAATGGTTTGTTCTCTAGAGTCTATAGACAGGCATGAGAGGGAGTGTGAATACAGTCAGATACTTTGCTCCAATCCCGGTGAGTAACATTGCACAAAGTTGACCTGTCTTTATTCAGAGAACATGTATCTGTTATCATTTGTCTACCAGAATGGCAAAAGTTGGCATTCATGTGCTTCTGGGTTGAACGCTTAGAGGATCTGCATGATCCTCTAAATGCTAGACCAAAATGAACCAAGGAAACACTCTTGGCAGAAAGAAGTAGATGCCTCTCTGTATGGATGTGAGCTCTGGTGTGTGACTGCCAAACATATGGAAAGAGCTGAAGACAAAGTCAGAGCATTAGGACTGCTTGCAGCAATCCTCATACAAAATGTATTCCTAATTTGTGTTAGTCCTGATCAGGAACAACGGTTTCTTTTCCAAAAACTAACTAAATTGAATCAGAAAGATCGTCTTCAAGTTTGTCAGAATGTAGTAGTTCATTTCTTCTGCTTTTTGACAAGTTATGTCAAAGTGTGTCTTTCAACTTTGACTTTTTATTGTTGTGTCTGAATCAATGTATTAGCATCTCCAGAAGTCACATGCTTATAGGACACGAAATCAGCAAACTAATCAGATCTATGTTCTACAGAAACAGATTAGTAGCATGTATGAGTTACCACACCCCAGCTCTGATGCATCGTATTCTGGGGACTGCAGATTCTTAAATATCTTGAACTCTTTCTCAAAAGTATGCGAAAGTATTTTCCAAAGTAACTCACTTATAATTCACAATATTAGTAAATCTCTATTTGAGAGAAGTATTTTTTTTGGAGGGGTGGGAATAGTTTGTGGACAAGTTTCGTTGTGCAATTGTTTCAGTTCCCCTCTTTTATTTTTAAATGAAATAGAAACTAAAAATATACTACAGCAAACACTGCCTAGAATTAGAAGTCTACAAACTTCAGTGTTAAACATGGCAGTCATCTGTGTGGTGTTCTTTTATTGGCTCTCCACATTTTATTTTTAGTTGCTACTGGTTTGGAAAGTTTGTGTCGTAGAATTTTGATGTAAATGCTTCTATTTTTGCAACTGGTTCTTAAAGGTTCATAAATAAATGTTCTCAGTTATTTATGTGGTCTAGTAGGTCATCCCCAAGATCAATGTTCAGGAGAACAAGGCTCCATTGCAGCTCACGCACTGCTTTACCATGGATCCTTACACCTTTATTTCTATTCAGAGGTCTCCTCTGTCACTAATATTAGACAAGTGACAGGATAATTGACAGAAAATACCAACCATTGGGAAGACCTTTAGTTTGCATTGTTACTAGTGGGTGTGTTATAACAATTTCAGTGCCTATTCTGAAGGAATTACATCTATTTCATTACTTTACCAGGTTGACGGTTGCTTAGCTCACGGTGTTGTGGCTTCCTTGCTCGAGTGTTTTTGTTTGGAATGAACTGCAGTGGTTTCTGTTGTAACCAGCTGCCTTACCTTGCTGTCCCTTGTCCAGGCTGCCCAGTTCAAACCGAACGCCGAAACCTGGACGGGCACTTGGCCGTGTGCGACTACCGGAGCCGCGCGTGCCCCAACGGCTGCGGCTGCACCGTGCTCGGCGCCGAGGACACGCAGCACAACTGCGTGGCAGAGCTGAGGACAGAGCTGGAGCTGCTTCGGTACTGGCCTCCCCTTCCCGTCGTGCCCGAGTCCAGAGGACACTTCACATACCAGCACTGTCCTCTCGTTTCATTTAAATAATCCATTAAACAGTTGGTGTTAGTGAAGCAGCTGATATTAGTCAGTGCATGTGCTGATTCTTTTCAACCTCTTCTTCCCTATGTTCCTCTAGCTTTTCCTTTCCATGATGCTACATTTAGTCTTTGTTTGTTTGTGTTCCCACATTCCTTCTCATTTCTCTCTCTCTCTGTGGACTTGTTCTTAAAATCCTGCACCCTTGAACATTACTGTGAACTCAGACCCAAATCTTTTTTAAAAAGGTACTGGGACAGAAAGGAATTCTGCTAATAAGGGGGCTAGAATGCCCTGTTTCTAAACTCTGAAGTATAATGTAGTAACAACAAGTTTTTGGCTATGTTTAGGTTATAAATAGTTTAGTGTGTTGTATTATTTAATGTCCTCCATAAAAGAGACAAGAGTACATGTTTGCATACTCACAGTTTTTATCTCAACTACTTGTGCTTACCAGTATTATTTAAGTGCATACTATAGGTAAAAGGCAATAAATCATTTAAGGCTCAACATACAAGATCTTAAGCTGTTACATTTTTTTAATTTTTGTTAAAGATATGTAAGGGACAACCCTATCATATATGTTGTGCTTTGCTGCTGCATTTGGGCACCAAACCCTGTTTTTTGATGTCAGTATTTTTTATTGGACTGGGGCATTCTGGCTGGGAAAAAGGATACTGAATATTGCATGAAGAGCAGCAAAAATGAGAAGTGTCCTGCAGGGTATGACGGGAATTGCTCTAGGCTGCCAGAAAAATTTGAAATTTTATTTTAGCCATATTTAAAAGATTTAAGAGTAAAAAACTTTTTTAGGTCAGAAATGATTTGCAGAGTGGAGGAGGCAAAGCACGAGATGGAGTCAAGACTAGATTCACAGAGAAGACACATGGTCCAGAAAGAGAGTATTTTGCAAAACGAAATTGAAGAACTGAAGGTAAATATGACTCTTTTCTTCTCTCTTTATTTTTGTCTCCTAATAGTTTATCTTTTTTGTTTTGTTTGCTCTTCCCAGTAGAAGTCTCTCTCTTTTCCTATGGAAAGAAACTTGTGTTTCCTTTTACATTTCATAGATGTAGAATTTCATAGGGCTGTGGGTGCCCGTGGTGAAGTGCAGGAACGGGCAGCTGGTCGCGCAGGGCTGCCGCGGCTGGTGAGCTCCGTGGAGCAGCACGTCCAGGTGCTGCCCTCGGGCAGGTTGTCGTCTTGAAGTTAGTTTGCGTTGTTGTCTGGACACACAACGTTGCTAGATCAGTCTCAAACTCATTCTCTGTGCCTAAATATAGAGAGTATTTCACAAACTGCAGGTAATTAAAAATCCAGCTCCTGTTTTAGTGCTGTCCAAAGTAGTTTAGTCCAATACTGACACAAAAGCCATTCTGTAGACAGTGATATTTACAGTACAGTTCAACTGTGTGAAAGATTTGGAGATTTGCACAGTGAAGTTAATATGGCCTTTGTTTGTTATTTGATTATTTTTGCCATTCAACTATTTCTTATTTTAAAATAAGTAATGACTTTGAAAGCCCGAGGCATTTGGGATATTGTGTATTACATTTTTCTGCTTAAGAGATTAGGTTTTAAATCCTTGAAGGATGTATCAGAGCATGACCAAAGCCTTATTTTGTTTGGAGTCATGAAATACAAAATATAATCAGCAACCAGGTAAATCTACTGTCCAGTATTACACCTTGTAGGAAACTTTTTATGCTTCTTGGGAAAATTCTATTGGAATATTTGAAACAAGACTGCTCAGAAGGGAAATGCTGGATCACGTCTCACCTTTACATTTGTTCTGCAGTCAAAAAGCAGCCGTGGAAGCCGTGCCCTCCGCGCGTGCCCCGTCCCGCGGGCGGCAGCGCGCGGGGCGCGCGGGCAGCGTCTCCCTTTGCTTTGCAGAGCCAGATGTCGCGGGTGCTGGCAGACGTGCGCTCCCTGATGGCTGCCGAGCGGCGGCATCGGCAGGAGCTGGAGCAGGCGGAGCTGGAGAAGCGGGAGCTCACGGAGCTCCTGAAGGGCCTGCAGAAGGACTCCCGGGTAAACGCCGCGGAAGGGAGCAGGAAGGCGCCCGGCTTCCGCCCGCTGGCGCGGCTGGAGAGCGGGAAGCGCAAGCCCCGGGAGGTGACGGTCATCTGAGCAGAGTAAGCTCACAAACACCTTCTTCAGACTATGTGGTGGTCTAACAAACGGGCCTGCCTTCTGTGAGTGAACGATGGATAAGCCTTGTATATCGTGCGTGCTGTGGAGTTTTCTCCTATGGAACAGTGGACCTTAGAGCCTGTAATATAAAAAGACCTTTTTAGTTAAGGGTTTCATAAAAAGGGAGAGAGAGGCTTGATTTGTACTTCTTCTTTGCATCACTTACAGGATTCCTTCAAGCCTGGAAATTAAAACCTTTTAAATTAAATTATACAGTAAGTTTTCCTCCTTCTTGCTCCTTTAGAGTGCATTTAAGTTTTTGTAATCAGCTCTGACATTCAGAGTGTAGTTTAGCTTAGGGAAAGTCAGTAATGGAAAGTAATAGATTTTGTTTGTTTATAGGCTGGAGGAAGATGTATTTCAAAGGCAAATAGAAATCACTTGAAATTCTAACTCTACTGCTATATAACAGCTTCAAGTGAGATTGATTTTTTTTTTCTTTGTTTTAGAGCTGCTCCATTTTCCCTGACACACATTTAATAAGGCGCTAACACCAAAGATAGAGAATGGTGTCACCTAAGAATTTTTATGCAGGCGTGTGCATAACGTGGCGGAGTTTGCAGGAGAGGATCTTGCTTTGTGTTCGGACGCTGGCGGGGATGCAGGTGCCTCTGTCACCCCAGTGACATCTGTACGCGCAGCCAGTGCCGCCGCGTGTCGAGCTCTGCTCGTTTTGACAGTTCTCATCACCGTTCCCTTACTGTGGAAGTAATAGCCATTTTTTAGAGAGCTGTGAGCAGAAGATCAGCCTGTACTCTTCAAACATCTTTAAAGCATGCATGGGTATCTTAGTATCTTTAATTTTCTTTTGGCAGGTTTAAAGCTACTTGAGCATCAGTATCCACAATGGACAAACCTTTGCACAGTCGTGTGGGCTTCAGGCTTCCTAACTGGTACTCAAGTCTAATAGCCAAGAGCTAGAATTTTATAACAGAGCCACAATCCTGAGACAAGGGGGCATCTGCCTGTAAGGACTGCAGGATGCTCAAGAAATCTGCACAGTTCAAGAGTCCTCTCTGAACTCCTCTCTCAGCCTGTTTGTGTTGTTCTCAGTGCTGTTGTTGAGCCATACTCTGTCCTCTCTTACGGGAGTATGTCGGGGGAAGGCTGGCCTCCTGTTTCCTGAATGTGCTAAATCACTTCTGGGCTCGCAGGAGAGCGGTCTGCAGGTGGAACAGTCTTAACAAGCTGCTCTCTGCTGTAGGAAGCAGCTCACTACTGCATGTGCCTTGCTGTCACTCGGATCAAAGCTTTCGTGGCTAACAACACACCAAAGAGAGAGGCAGCCACCTGCTTTAGCTCGTAATGCTGCAGTGTAAAGATGTGTGGTCACATCTTTATAGCAGCGCTCAATTAAATTTCCAGTGTCAGTAAATCTTTTTAATCCTTTCTAGTTTTTCTTTTTTTTTTTTCACTTTTTTAGTGCCACTGAAAGGAAATATAGATGCTTTTAGCTCTTCTCTGCACTCATGGATTGAAATAACTCTCCTGTATGTTCTCCTTTTTTAAAAAAAGAAAAAAGAGAAGGACTCATAGGAACATTCCAAATGTTTGTTTATTTTTTTTTAGTTCACACTTAAATTCTAGCTGCAGTTACAGTAGTTGACAGTATTTAGGTGGTTCCAGCAGTGCTTCCCAGCTCACAACGTAGCACAGATCTTGGGCAGCCCTATCCAACAGCGTGAGGCAGTAAAGCAGGAGCTGGGGGGAAACCTCCCTTCACACCGCGCATTTGGTGCCCATCGCACGTGTGCGGAGGCTGGAGCTGGAGCCCAGGAAAACTTCTGGGCCTCAGGGCTCTGGACAAGCAGGCTGGGGTGGTTGAGGTTTCTGTGGTCCCTGGTTTTGAAGCCGCTTGGCCGTTCCAGATCTCATGCTACTGGAATCAGTGGTTTTTTTTCAGGGTATTTTTTGTGTAGTGTAACCGTGTGGTTCTGTGACATAACCTTGTATCCCTTGTTTAAAGTGAAAGAAGAAAATCCCTTCAAAATCCTGTACCCTTCATCCTGTTCAGAAGAGCCGGATCATCCTGCCTGCATTGGAGTGCAGGAATGATCACCTTAGCTTTCACACTGGGACCACAAAAAGCCCATTACTGGCTCCAAGCTTTCTGCATAATTGGATCTCTGTGTTTAATTATAAAGGGTGACGTTCCTAATTCTAGTGCAGGGAGTAGGATTTAGTTGGTGTTTACGTAGCACTTGCTCAGCTGTCCGTATCCCCAGACTCGCCAGGCAGCAGCTCCTTGGTGCAGATCGGCCTCCCCGCCAGGCGCTCTGGGCAGCTCCCGGCGCCGGCTCCGGATTGGAACTCGCAGTGATCCCACCCAGGAGGGCCCTGGGTCCCGTGGCAGCAGCGAGGGCCCAGCTGGGGCTCCCCTCGGCACAGAGCAGCCTCCCCGGGGCCGGTGGGGGTTCTTAGCCATGGCCTCCGTCTGCGCTGGAAAACGGCTCTGCTTTGGGCTTCATCACATTCCTTCGTGGTGATGACTTAGGCACTTGGGGCTTTCTTCTACTAACAAACACGGACATGGAGTTGTGTTTGCCTGGACATTGTCATCACTGTACCTGTTTATTAAACGAGAGTGAAATTGGGTAGCCCGTTATATTAGAAATTTGTCTAAATTTAGCTTTTCCAATCTCATGTATTGCAGCTTTTAATAGCAGGCAGCAGGAACAAAGAATTCCTTTTGCTTTCTTCAAATAGTCTGTTAATCCTTTTCATAAAAACGGAAGGTCCAAATATTGTAGAAGACTCAAAGTGCACATGTGCACTAGAAATGCCTAGTTCTCTGGTCATAATTGTATTTTAGGATAATATGAACGACTGCTGAAATTGCATTGCTGGTAGCAAGAATCCTGAATATTCTCAGACTGATTCACTTCTTGATCCTGTATCCTTGCACTTCAACCTTTATCCACGACTAAGTGGGTCCTAAATGTAGCAGGATCAAACCTGGGAGCTTCTCTAATGAAGTTCTGGTAGGGAGCAAGCTCGTAAGCACATAAAGTTATGAGGACTTGAGCAAATCCTGACAGCTACATTAACTTGGACAGTAAAGAATAACTCAAGGATCTAAATAACTTAGCATGTTGAAGTCAGGGGGTGAGTTTGTCTTGGAAAGGAAATCACAATTTACGTGTTTATTCTGAAGACCTGAGAGGCCGACCCCCCTCTACCTGAGTCGCTTTCCTCGCAGCGGCTGCCCGGGAGCCGCCTCCAGGCCACCTCAGCGAGGTCAGGCCCAGGAGCCGCCTCCGCCGCTCAGTCCCGTCCCAGAGCTGCGAGCCCTGCGCTCCCGCACCCACAGGGGACCTGGGCGCTCCGGTGCTGAAAGGCAGCAGTGACGGGGAGAAGCATCTTCTGGGTCTACGTGAGGGGCTTCCCGCAAGGCCTGCAGAGCAGAAGGTGGCGGGAGGGCGAGGGCGGCGCTGCGGGCGGTTAACGCCTCCTCCGAGCGCCGTGAGGCAGCTCGGCAGCGCCCAGGGTCAGGAGAGCACATCTGTACAGCCACGCAGAACACGTAGTACTGTGGTTTAACTGGGGAAAAATAGTCATCATCTCACTGGTTCTGCACGGGTTCAGCGTATCGGTGAATCCTGGGGTAAGCGGCGGGAGGGCGAGGGCGGCGCTGCGGGCGGTTAACGCCTCCTCCGAGCGCCGTGAGGCAGCTCGGCAGCGCCCAGGGTCAGGAGAGCACATCTGTACAGCCACGCAGAACACGTAGTACTGTGGTTTAACTGGGGAAAAATAGTCATCATCTCACTGGTTCTGCACGGGTTCAGCGTATCGGTGAATCCTGGGGTAAGCAGTTTCTGACGCGTTAGCCTGGGGAGGTCGAGAGGTGCCGGCGCTGCTGGTGCTGCTGTGACCACGGTGCCTCCCGAGCTGCCCTGGAACCGGAGCAGCTCTCACCTCTCTGGGCTGCTGCCTGGGCCGGGGTCCCAGCCACGGCTGCCTTCACCGGGACCTACACCTCTATGCAACTTTATACAACATGAGAACACTGACTTGTCTTCCAGCACTACAGTTCACTGCCAATCTACTTACATTTTCTACCTTTATACATACAGTAAGGATAAAACAGGGGTATCTTGGACCTTTAACAATAACAGTATTTGTATCAATCTGAAGTACTCTTTGTATAAAAGTTGAATTAGTAAAGGCTGTAAATATAAAGATGGATGGGAAGTCTCTTCATTCTTTCTGTTAGTTTTGAGCATCCTCTTTATCAGAGGAAATAAATAGCAAAGCTCAAGCAGAGCAGATGCACAATCCAAAAGCTGTGAATAAGCTGCACTAAAAAAGGGTCAGCGCATTGAAGCAGGTGAGACTACAGCCCGGTCTGTGACAACAGGCTTTGGCCAAGGGCAGGAGGTAGATGTGGTGGTAAACAGGGCTCAAGGAGCATCCTGCTCGAGGCAGTTTTCCCTGCTTTCCAGAGGGACTCTCTGAAGGGGACGAGCAGCCCCTGGGAAGGGGAGAGGGAGCAGCAGTCAGCAACAGGAGCAGGGGCCTGTGGGGACAGCAGCTACCGCACGGGTGAGAGGGAGAAATAAGCTATGAGTTACAGGGTTCTTCTTAACCCTACTGTATGTTTGCTATATGTCTGTATATCTGACATGTGAGGTAAGAACATGTTTTACATCAGTAAAATGAGAATCTGGTGTGCACGTTTTCACTTCACGGGTGTAGTCTGGAGCTGTTCCTGCTTAAGCATTAACAGGGAGGGCACAGAGCGAGCCAGAACCAGCGCTCGCGGCCTGCCTGGCCTCTGTGTGGCTCCTTCAGCCCCAGGGCATGTTACACACTGGGGAAAAAAAAAGGCTAAAAGCTCACGTGTCGCAGCTTTAAAGAGCAGTGTATCACTGTGTTTTGCAAATCACCTACCTGCTTTCACCGTCATCTGGCCTTCGGGCAGTACAGAGTAACACGCTGCCACTGACTGAACATTAAAACAACACCGGACACAACTCGTACCACCATGAGCCCCTCAACGCTGCATCCTGTGCATCCCCTGTCAGCCCTTTAACTAGGACAGTGGATTAACCACGACAGCTCTTACACAATTCAACCCCCAAGGCAGCTCTTGTCAATATTGTCTCCTATTCTCAACGTGCCCTGTCAGCGACGCAGGCCCAGGGCGCGGGGAGGAGGAGCTGCCCTGGGCTCTCTCTTCCCCAGGGCTCTGCTCAGCAGGTGACGCGTGCGACACGGAGCAGGTGTTTGACAGCAGCATTAGCCATTTTCAGTGTTCCGGTGATTCAGGCAGGAAACAAAACTTAAATTCCTTTTTTTGGCATGGTATAAAAAGTGAAATTTAATGATGTTATTTGCTCAAGGTGAGAACTAAGAGTCAAAACAACTCCATGTTTTAAACAGGGCATTTACAGCATTATTTCAAGTTAAAGTTTCCCAAGACAGGAACCACCCTCTGTGCCATGAAGGACCTCAGAACTAAATTATTTTCAAAAAAGATAGACATACACTTTTAAGTTGGACTATGTTTGCAAAGACTGTTCATCTTGACCAATATAAGCAACCCTTTATTTCTTCCTAGTTTGACAATGACCAGTGTGACATGCTTCATATTTTCAAGTTTCATATTTTCAAGCACTAGTACTGAATATTTACACATTTATTCCATGTTGATGCTTTTCCTTCACCTTTCAAGTTCCCTGACTGAAATCATTCACATCCCTTCTGGTTTCAAGTGCTGTGAAGTTTCTAAAAAAATAAAACCCCTTAAACAGATGGCACGAAGGAGCTCATCAGCTTTAAAAATATTTACACAGTGCTCCTTAAAAAAATAGCATTAAATACCTGCAATGTCTCAGCACGCCACCCATTCAAGGCATTACAGTTCATTGCAAAACTACATTTTCCTGTCACTCCTCAGAAAGCTTTGCCTTCCAAGCAACGTTCATCCATCTTGTTTTCTAAATGCTGTTAAAATACGTAAGTCTGTGAACCCATTACTCCCTTTAACTGCACTCAGTCAACAAACAGAAAAATTCACTTCACCACTTTCATAGGCTGTTGCCAAGGGGCTTGGTGCAAACGAGGCCCCTCTCAGGAACCGCGGGACCGGGAGGCTCCCACAGAGCCAAGTCCGAACGGGCACCAGGGCCTTTCTACACGGCCCATGGAAACCTTCAGCTAAGGCCTGGCAGTACCGAGGTGACATTTTTCATTTTAAAATACGCTCCTATTTTAGGGAGCACTTAAAAGAGGCTGTTAAAGCTTATGATACTACACAGACGAGCTGTCCAAAGTACCATGACTTAAAACAAGAAGAGCAAAAGCGAGGCCTTGAACAGATAAACACCCCTTCCTTTACTGCACCTCCTGTCACAGCAAGAGAGCCAGGAGTCAGTGAAAGATCAAGCTCAGGTGGAGATCACAGGTAAAAAAATTACATGGTCTTTAAAAAAAAGCTACCCCTGCTCAGCCCATGGAATATCCAGCACAAGGTTACTGGGAACGGGTCATTTCTGTGAAATGCCATAGGGCTCCAAGGACTGCAAGCACCTAAACCGCTTACTTCAACCACTAGCTTAATAGGAAAATTAATTCGGAGGTAAATCTAGCGGTAAAGTAAATAGCAGGATGTCATCTTACTCGCACTGAAGTCGATGAAAGATTTTCTACGGAGTTCAAGAGGTGCAGGATGTTACTTAAGTGTCTAATCACAGCATCGAGGATGTTCAACAAAACGTATATAAATTACGCTCATACCTTTGTTTTCTTTCACAGACTAAGTCAATTTTATATTAAATGTTTCCCCTGCTACTTCAGCTCTGGGTCAATTATAGCTACAGGCTAGCTAAAAAAGAGCGGGAGGAGAGGGCTAACAGCTCTAAACCTGAGAGAAAACACTAAAATTTCCTTACACATTTTTGTTTTTTTAATTTCTTGCAGTAATAAGTCACATAAAACACACCTGTACCTTTCTTTTGGCACAATGAGTATTTTGAAAGTCCTTCAAGTCTTAACTCCAAGAGTTTCTTTACTGAATATCATCTACCAGAGTCCACAAAAACATTCTTTCCAAGGAACAAAAAAAAATATACAATAGTACACAAAAAGTCTTGCATTTTATTGAAATTTCAAGTCTTGTATCAAACAAAAACTGTTCTCTTCAGACAAAAATATTCTCTCGGTGTCTTCCAGATACCCAGGAAGTCCAAATTGGTCCTTTAGTGCCTCCGTTCTCCTTTGTCTTCTTCAGAAGGAGGAGTCCACGGGGCGGCTCTTCCTTGAGCTCCGAGTTTAGCGCGTGAAGGAACGAACGTGGCGGCCTCTTCCACTGCCTCCACTAACAAACTTCCCTCTCGAGCCACCACTGCTACTACTATTAGCACTCGTCCAGGACGGTCCGATTCCACCGCGGCCTCTGGACGCACGATCGCGAGGACTCGGTCGGTAGCCTTAAAGCAAAGAAAAGTATACTCAGTTGAAAAAAAAAAGAAAAAAAAAAAGGGAAAAAATCCCTAGGCAGAGCAGCTGCTGGGAAAACACAAGGAACAAAAACAGGACGAGACACAACCTGGGTCTGTTCTCTCCTTTTAATTTTCACTTTTCTTTTAGGCAAGCATTTTTGTTTCGACTGCCTCTATAATTACCATGTAGTTACGGAGACAACTGAATTGCAAAAATCTGAATGCAAAATTAAGATTCTGCAGTCAAGTGTTCAATTCGGCAAGTTTTACGGATTACAGGCTGGTTCGTACGAGAGCAAGTACGTGACAGTCTCAGTGACAACGGTTCATATATGCTTAAAACATTTGCTGAATTTCAAGGTGTCTGTAGCATCCTTGCACGGTTTCATTTGTAAAGCAAAAATGAAATTCAAGGAATTTTCTATAGTTCGATGCCCATATGAATACCATGTACCTGCTGAAAAAAAAAATGCTGAACTCAATGGTCTCAGTGGTGGCAGGGGACCCCTGTTAAAATTGCTTTGACCACCTCTACTGTCATTGTAGGTGCCCCTGGGTGTACTCTGCGCACTCCAGCTGGAGCCCCGAGCACCTTCACGACGACTGTAGTTTCCTAGACACGGAGGGAGAAAAGCACAAGGGGTTGAATAAATCTCTCTCTTTTTTTCATTTTAATCTTTTCAGTGTTTAGGGTAAGTAAATAAAGGCAGTATTTACAGAACTCAAATAAATGAAACTACCTCTGCATCAACACACCTCATCATAGTCTGCACAATAGTGTATTATGAACAGAATCAGGAGAAAAATATCTACTTTTCAGACACAAACTCGTGTTTTAAAACATTTCACAGCATTATTTGCTATACTAAGAGGGTCTTCTACATTTTAAGCTTTTATGTTAAAGTAAATCCTAGTATTTTTAAGTCTGCTGAGCGCAAGTGTTACCTGCTTCCACTGAGCACGGGAACACTTGCCTTAATAGCAGGTGGAGAGGAAGGGCCTGCAACCTTGTTTGTAATGAAAGAGCCGACACTCTAACAGCTTCTCCAAGGCCACCACAAACTGCATCCCCCTCCTCCCGTGCTCCTCCCTCCTCCCATGTCAGGTAAGCACCAAGATGCACCAGGATGAAACCCAGCTCGAGGAGCTCCCGATGGCGATGACCAGGGGCCGGGCAGGGGGTCCCCTCCCTGCAGCCAAAAAAAGCGGCTGCCCGGGGACCCTGGCAGGATGGCCGGGGGCTGCAGGGACAACACGGGAACCAGCAGCTCCAGCCCACTCAAGAGGAGTGTTCCAAGGGCCCAGGGGCTCGTGGCAGGGGTGTTAATTGCTGGTTTTAGCATCACTAATTCACTTACTGCAGCTCTGAGAAAAGAGACAACGTACCTTTGGAAGCAGGTGGAGTAAAGAACCTGTTCTGACTGTGAAAAGCCCCCCGGCCTCCGCGGTTGCCCGAGAACCCCCCACGGGACGATATCTTCTGCGAGACTTTGGGGGGCCGTTTGGCAGGCGGAATCCCGTCAGGAGCCACCACTTCTTTGCTTTCTGCAGCAACAAAGTCGTCCACGTGCATGGAAGGGGGTCTGCTTGTGTTCTGTTTCCTCTGCCGAAAGATGTCGTGTGGTCGAATCCCTTGCCCAAATCCTCCCCTGCCTCTTCCCCGTGGCGGCGGCACGACATGGGCTCTCTTTGCAGGCTCAATGTACTCGGATTTCCCACTGTCATGACAAATCGTGATCATTCAGTTAAGATAAAGTCTATTAATGAATGTCAGGCATTCTCCTTATGGGAGATGCCATTTAAAAGGCAGTCTACATTTTGAGAGTACACAAGACACTAGTTACCAATCCTCACAGCAAGGGCACATTAACTGCCTACCAAGGTAAATGCATCTTACCTTGAAGTTATGAAGGTCTCGTGCTTGTGCTTGCCAAGTTTGAACCCTTTGGTGGTTTTCGTACGACCGGGAGACGAGGGCTCTGACAAAAACGACCTCTCTAATTCAGCTTGCAAGTCAAAGTCACTGCAGCCCTTCTCTGACAGCTCAATTAAGTCAACTTTGACCTGCAGCAAGAGAGTTTTAACTTGATGACAACGATCCTTGCAGGACTCCTGAAGAAGGGAACGCGCTGCAGCAGGACAAGGGATTCAGCTGGGGCCTAACCTGCTCGAGCTCTTCCTCTCAACAGGGGCCAGCCCCGTCCTCTGCCTTTTCATGCATTAGTGTGGCTCAAAGCAAAGGCAGCAGGAACCATGGGAGTTGCAGGAGCTGCAGCATTACTCACTTGGCAGTTCTCAACCTCAAGAAAGCAAAGACTGAGCTTCCAAACACATGGGCCATCTGGGCGTTAAGAGGACCTGAAGTGAGGCCTCTTTTCACCTAAGCTACAGGCCTATCAGTTTATCAATGCTGCTCTCATAAAGGAGTGTTGGTTTTGCTGGAGAAATTATAGAAACTGAAATAAAATGTCTTTGTGTGCAATCATTAAAAAAAACATATAGAAAACAAAAAAAAGGGAATGAAGCCTACAGAAATTGATAGCTTTCCACACAGGAAACTGAGACACTCTAACAATTGCCTAGGAATTAAAAAGTCACTGTTTTTTTTTTTTTTTTCCAAAATGGCAGTTACACTTTCAGTTACAAGAACCAAATTACAAGTACAGTGGAAAGGTTTGGTGCAAGTAGTTTCATTTACTGCTGCCATTTCTTTCTGTGTTCAAGCAAAGATTTTAAAATACAGAGTGTAGCTACCAGGTTCTTTGGGTATCGCTACAGAGACAGAAGGTAAACAAGGAAAACAGCAAAGAAGTGAGAGGAAAAGAGCAAAGATAGCAAAGATACCAGGCTCTTTTCCACATTTAGCACAAACCACTGCCCCAGGAGGGGCAGAAAAGCCAGGCCAGGACTGATGCACCCACTGCTGCTGGGAAGGAGGTGACTCCTGCACGAGGGTGCTGGGACAAGGATAAGTTTCTGGCAGTTTCCCTAGGAATTTGAAGGTGTGTGGTTAGAAACTGTTACAAATGACGACCCCTACAAGCTGGGTCAATTTAAAAGGATGAGCTAAGGAAAACAAATCATTTTGCCAAGTGATTCTCTAACACTACCAGCTCAAGTCACCCTCATTTCTAAACCCATGAAGGAACGAAGCCTTTTACCATATCCAGGTCATTGTCTATCTCTTCCGCCTGGAAGGGGGAGAACCACATGGACTTCAGCTGCTCGTCCACCACCTCGGCCAGCACGTACGTGGTCCTGCAACACAGCAACGAGGGGCCTTTTGCTGCCTGCAAGGCACACGCGGCAGCGGGGAGCGCGCAGGGCCTGCAGCGCCCTTCCCGCGGGAGTCAAGGGAAATCAATCACACTTACACCTATGCTCTTCATTAAATATAGCTACACATTTTTCAAATACACTTTGTTACCTCCGCATTTAAGAATTTTACCTGTTGTTGAACAAATTCTGCAGAGAGTCTGGTGCAGAAAGAACTGGCTCTGTGTCTTGGTCACTCAGCGGACAAGAATCACCTGCTGATTCCAGCATTTGCCTGACACCAACGATGTTGTCCAGTAAGGATTCAAGGCCATCGTCTTCTTTAGAGCGATCCTAGGTGAACACATGGCAAGTCAGAATTTTTTTTCACCTTCCCAGAGGAAGGAACATGTTTTTGTTGCTAAAAGAGAAAAGTGGCACTAGAAAAAGCAGCCCCTCTGCCCATAAACAGTGAGGCTGAGCGGCCTAAACACAGAAACAGCGGTGAGCTCCTCAGCACACTACAAAAACCAGGTCACCACATGGACGCTTCAGGTTTGCTAAGCATTAAAGTCAGTAGTAAAACAAGGGCAGCAGCTACTATCAATTCCATGAAACATGCCACAGAAATCTGTGCTCTTCTCATCAAGAAGGGATAGTCTGTATGGTTAAAAACAGTTCAATGCACAAGACTGCAGCAGGGGCTTGATTATTCCAACTCTTTTACCATAACGTGTTTCTCCAGCTCAAGCAGTAGGTTTTCTGGGGTTTCTTCTTTGGTCTGCAACACATGTTTTAACTCGGCCGTGGTCAGGCCCAGTGTTCTGCCAGGATGAGACCCATCCACCTCCATAACATTTCCATCTTCCCCACAGCATCCCTGAAAAACAGGACGAGTGGGAAATAAGTACCCTCGAATACTCATTGTCCTCTTGGATTGCAACTCCTTGAAATCCATTGTGCAGCAGAGCAAATCGAGCAAAACGAGTATTTTTTACTGCTTTAGAAACATCTTGTGCAAGGATTTTTAATAAACCACAATTCTGTAGGAAAGTGCAGCTGCTGTATCAAGATGGATTTAATCCTTTCCCATATAAGCTGAGGTTTGTATCAGAACT